AATTATTTTTAAATGAGCCATTTTTGCATCTTAGTTTCAGTAAGATCTTTTTTCTTTTCTGTGAAAGATGTTTTCAGATATGAAACTGACAGTATGTTTTTACAATCCAAAAAGTATTTTATTTCAAAAGATCAATGAAGATTTGTTATGATCCCTTTAAGCTAAAAATAAGCATATTCTTTTTGATGTTTCATCCACTTAGTCTAAATATAGGCCAAACGAATTTCATGAATTGATTGATTTCAATTCAACTACTAATATTATTTTATGAGGAACAACGTCTTTCTTTGCACTCTGTGTCCACTACTTGGTCATTTAATTATATATGTTTACATAAAATTGCACGTATACATAATAGAAATGTTTTCTTGCACATGGTGACTTCTGTTTTGGTTAATTAACTCTATTTCCAATGCTTTTGCATTCATATTCGTCCTCTGCAGGACCCAGTCTACCGGGACCCTTCCCTTCAGCCTTTTGAAGTGAAAATGCTGATTGTAGTGTTTAGAAATCTGCATATGGATGTGGAAAATCTATGATGCAGTACATTACTATTTACTCTGTGAGTCGGTTATGAACAAAGGCTGAATTTTGTAAAGGAAGAGATCCTTTTATAAAGACTTGTATTGCACTTTCATTCTTTAATTAAAAAACGCTGTCTTATAATTAAACAATAAACAAGTTAAGAAACTGTATGCACTATTACAATAAAACATTTTTTTTTTAAATATTATAATAAGAACAAATGTGTGTATACAAATGCTTTTGAGATCCAAATGTTATGTGTATCTGAAGAGAGCGAGACTAACATGATGTGTATTTATTTATGCTTGATATGCTACTCATGTCATGCATGCATACATAAATTCATTCTGTCAGGTGGATGCTGGGTAGGCAGCCCTCAGCTTGAGTAGTACACTTCAAGATATCTGTAGTGACAGCAAGGTGCATTATATAAAGGCATGACTTGGTAGCTTTTACCACAATATTTGCTCAAAAATGAGTAGTGATAAATAACTGATGGAAACTCAATGGGAAATGAATGACTATATAGAGTATGCGTTTTGACACAAATCAAACTGATTAAGTGGAAGTTTAATATTTATACAGAAAAGAGTGATTCATGATACACAATGTTCAAAAGATTGTAAAATTGACATAAGTGTACAATATCAGGTGTCAGCCATTTTGAAGTGTGTCTGAATCCCCATATAGTGACGTTCCCTATATAGTTCACTCCTTTACCCATAATGCACTCTGATTTAACTGACGTACACTCACCAAATCTGACACACACACACACACAAATTCTTGTTTAAAGTTGATTGTATTTCTAGAATATTGCCTTGATACATCTCTTTTATTTTTTTGATAAGTCATAATTTGATTTAAAAAATGATTATAAAGATAGGTAGCAAATAATTCAGTTTACCAACAACTATGAAAACAAACATTTTATGTTTCTTCACTTCTTCAACTCAGAAGACTATACAGAGAGGAACTGAAAATTTGGTGGAAGATTTAAATATCCGGGTATCACTTGTAGATAGCATATTCATCCATGTAAAATAAAATAAAATAAAATAAAATAAAAGAATCTTTTTGTCCTCTTTTTTTCACTGTGCAAAATTCTTTAGTTTTATACAATTGTGAACATTGTTTTCATGTTTATTTTCAGTAATTCCTCTGTAAAACCAAAAATGTCAAAACCATAAAGAAAATATTTAAAATATACTTAAGATAAAATGCATACAGTATAATGCTGTTTGTTTTTAAATCAACATCAGAATTCACTCGCTTATTTTCTT